GAAATATGACATTTTAGTGTGAAGCTGCAAATCTTTAAGAATCCAAAATAGAGACCTAGGAGGAAAATCCTTCCTGTTGCTCATGATAGTCCATTTTTAAGTTCCATTCTTCTCTTGATTTGTAAATTTCCAGACAAAAGGTTTTCGAAGAATTCCACAGAAAATATTTAATCTTGGTAATTTCTATGCCCTCTTATTTTACATTGAAACACACCAATAATGAAGAATCATCTTCCTGTTCTTTTAACTATGCCTCACTCTCTTGCCTGTCTTTCCTCATTAGCTTTGATATCACAGTGCCATCTACTTGATCAACAGAGTCAGGTTATTTTCCTTAGAAAATTACACAGTTATAACACTGAAGAAATCAAAGGGCTGCTTGGTTTCCTGGCAAGTTCTCTCTCCTTTTCACTTCCCAGCCCTTTCAAAGAAGCACTGCCTTTAGATGTCCCCCTTTGGGAGCTGGCCCAGCTCCAAGCCTATCAGACCTGCACAAAGCCCTGGCTGGATAGTAACAGATCCAGAGTGCTGCGAGGACAATTCAAGCCCTGCCGACCCTTTTCTCAGCATCCCTTCTCCTCTCTGGCAGGTGTTTCAATTTGAGAGAGGGTCACCCTCTGTAGGCAGAAAACACGTCAGCCTTTTGTGTGTGTAAACTGGAGCAGAGGCTTTGTTTGGAGTAAGAAAGCATCACAGCAGTCAGAGGGGATGGATTGCACAGCTTGAAAGGTTGAGCCATCCCTTCTTAGAAATATCCACAGCCTAGCCTGAGCCTCAACAGGCATGTACTTTATGAATTTTTCCTACAAATATTTAGACAAGAAACACTGTAGACAGGGCTAAAAGAAATTATCACTGTGCACTTACATCTAAAGACCTGTTTCTCTACAGGAATCACCAGTCTGGCAAGATCAACAGTAGGAGTGAAGGTGAGACTGCCACACTAAATAACTTTTCACCTACAAGACAGGCTTTTTTCTCTTTTTGTACTATTGAAAGATGTTTGAAGTTTTTTCCTATGTATATTTCAAAGTAATGTTGATTCATTCATTGTGAAAAATCAGCGTGTAGACTCCAGTTTTGCCTGTCCCTAGGCCTTAACTTTTTATTGCTTTTTTCCTCACCTGTCACACTGTTGTTATCTTACCAGTACCTTTACAAACAGGTGTAGTGTACATACCAGCCACTTTCCTGTGCTCAAAGTCCTCGATGGGCCTTACACAGGATTGCTCTTATCAAAGCCTCCACGTTTTGTCCCTCAGACGACATCTTTGCTATGATTCGTGCATACAGGCTGAGTGATAAGGTACAGGGTTGCTTTTATATGCACTGAGGCTTCTCTGTGGAGCTGGGGAGCTACAGAGACATCTGCACTCTTTGCTGTCTTGCTCCACCTGTGGGGAAGGTAGGAAAGCTTTCTGCAGAAGTACCATGGTACCTTTCTGCTTCTCCACTGCCTGTCAAATGTGATCTCTTTACATACGTGGAACTGGCAAAGTTACTCTGCAGCTGTGGACTGAGACTTTCTTTTCCTTGGTGTCTGTGCTGGCCATTGCAATGAGCAAATTTGGAAATGTCAATCCCATGCCATTGCCACAGGACTCCAACAGTGGTCTGTGCATCCATTCAAAGGGAACAGGCACGGTAGTCAACCCACACCAGTGTTTTTTGTATAACTTCTGGGACCCTAAGTTATAAAGAAATCTTCTGTAACAGCTGTGAGGTATGACAAGAAAACAAATAACTGTTTGCTTACCTAATGGTCATCAGTCTTTATGGCACTTCTGGTTCATTTATAGCTCAGGACTGAGATAAAGATTGGCATTTACCATACAACAATCAGCTCTTGTATGTGACCAGTACAGTTGCTGGGGAACAAAGTGCCAATATTTTCTATATTGACACCAGCACCTGTTCTGTTTCTTATGCAGAGTGGCTTCCATGCAAATAACTCCTGTGAATGTTCACATCGCATCAACTGGATTCCAGGTTGCTCTGTAGAATTGAGAATAACAGAGTAGTAAAAGAGATTTCCCCATTCATTGTAAAAAGAGCATTTTGTCCATGTCGATACCAAATACTCCTCGTCTTATGGATTAGTGACTTTGCTACTGCTTTCCCATCAGTTTCTAATGAGGCCAGAAGAGAGCAGGAATAATTTGAAATTGAGAGAGTTGCTCTTACTATTGTGAGTGACAGTGACACAGTTCTGACCCCGTGCTTTCTGTGCCTTTTTGTTATAGTCGGTAAAGATGGGCAACCAGTAAGGGTTTATAAAGGGCTTTTATAAACCCCATAAGGGTTTATAGAGATCTTACTCAAATGCACATCTGATTGTTTTTATGTAATCCCCCTGCTGATTGTAGAGGCATAGCCCACTGGTGTAAATCCATGATGGAATTTAATATCATGATGTATAAACCTGGTTGTATCTCAAATCTCCTTCCCTCCAAAGGGGATAGGGAAGCCACCAGTCCTGAACATGTCCCAGTCATTTGGAGTATCACTGAAGATATGGTATTTTCAGCCTTTCCTATGTTGGGTGGCACGGAGGAGATATTTTAAGGTTGCAGTAAGTTCTCATCTACATTCTAAACTGTGGTGTAGGCCTGCTTTGGGCTCTTGGCTGCCTCCAAAATAATGCTGCTGGCTAAAGCCAGGTAAACCATTCCAAGTACAACAGCAGCAGCAACTACAGCTGGCTTTCCCCATAACAATTTTGTTGCTGAATGAGCACATACCTTTTTAGCCCCTGTGACTGAGTTGAAGAGGAAGAGGAAGACAACTTTTGCATGTGGGTAGATTGCTGTCGTAATAAACACCTGAGCAAACTTTACTATATCCTGTCTTGGCTGTAACTCTGCACATATGTCAGAACTTAAAATGCCAATAATTCCATTAAGTTTGCTCTTCTACCTTCACTTGGCCAAAATAGCTTCCCCAGTTCTCCTCCAAACCATTTTAATATAAATGACTATAATGAAATCACATATAAAATGATGGGACCTTTGTTTTCTGAGAAGCATGACACTAAAATCCTGGTGGGGAGATATACCTTCCCTAGGTAATTCTGGCTTAAGCAACCATCAGCCCTACCCACAGCTGCTCATATGTGCCCTGCGTCATCCCCTGTTTCATGCTGCCACGACTACTTCCGTAGCTGGTTGAGGAAATACTCAGGAGCACAGATCCAGATGGAAAATAGCCCAGGGAAAAGGGGCAAGGGAAGGAGTTTTCTGCCAGATCAGTTCCTCCATCTCATCTCAAATGCCTGTTTACGCCCTGCAGCAATAATGGGAACAAATTCATATGGGGAAGGGGGGCAATCAGGGTGGTGACTGTTTAAACCAGTTTTACCACCCTCGATGAATACCAAGCTATTGCTTCAAAGAAAGGCTCCTCCCAAAGTCCCCAGTGTAAGGAAATTGATTGATTTCCCTCAACTCCCACTTTAGTCTGTGTACTACTGGTTGCTGGAGCTTTGATGCTTGTTGCAAGTGTGTCACCAGTCTGTCCCTGCCTACGCCTCTCCCTGCTGTCACCATTGCTCTGCCTTTCAAGGAACTTTTGTGGTCTGACTTGCAGAACAGAGAGTTTCTTGGGAAATATCAAAGAGGAGGCAGGACGTAACACATGAATTGCCTATGTAATATGTGATTTCTCTGTGTGAGCACAAAGTCTTCCCAGTATTCCCCTCACCACTTTATTCCTCTGCCAGACTGTGTTTGGGCTGGACACTTTGTGCAGCACTGGCATGGTGCTGCAATTTGACGTAGTCTATTGCTTAACAGTTTCATAACCTCTTCTTTTCACTACTGGGTAGAAATGAAGGGCTTTGATGAGGAGATTGCATTGCAGGACCAGTTTTGTAAAGAAAAACAAAACTTGGAAATGAGGTTACGCTACTATGTCTCATCCCAGCTTGTTTTTTACTAGACAGTCCTTCAGGGACACAGCGTGGCAGTGCTGAAGCCAAACGCTCTGCCAGCGTCTGTCAGAGGGACATTAGTTGTGTCCCCTGACAGATGCTGTGGCAATGATTGTGCGTGAGACTGACACCGATTAGGCTGCACCATGGGGCTCCCACCAGGCATTTCCTATGGCAGTGAGGGTTGCAGGGTTAGCTATCACTGCAGCAGTAGTGATTGCTACTGATGGCTGTTGGGGCTCTTCCCAGGATAAGTCCCGTCCAAGCATAGATGCCAGCAGCTCCTGCTGTTTTGACATGAGCTTGATTAGACCAGCACTACAGAGGATCACTAGACAGTACATGTGTGCCAGAGGCCATTGCTAACAGACAGCATAATAAGAGCTCTTCCAGGGACTAACCTATAGGTATTACGAGCAAGTGTTTTGGTGTCCACTCCTCTGGCTATCACAGCATGGTAGTTGGCTGTGGTATCCTTCACAGGTCCTTGGCAGGCTTTCGCCTTGGCTTTGGCCTGCCTTTCTCTGCATAGTGTAAAGTGGGAAGAGCCCGGTTTGTGTCTCAAACACAAGCATCAGCTCCACACTACTTCCTACCTCCTGGAGGGGCTTTCATGCCCTTCTCACCCCTTTTCTTCATTGCCCTGGGGGATTGGTCACCTTTCAAACCGAGTGAGCCGGGTGGCTGGCTCCCCTTCCCATTTGCCTTGCCCTCTGCTTCCCGCTGCCCGGCAGTCCAGAGAGGGAAGGGGTCTGCCATGCCACACTCCCTGCCAAGCCGGGAGGAGGCAATTCCCACTTCCCTGTGCCGGCACCCCCTGCCCCGCGGCAGAGTGAGGAGCGGTCAATGCAGCAGGAGAGGGCCCGGGAATGGCTGCGGTTTGGGGCTGGCCCTGAAAGCAGCCCCGCCAGGCGCGCTTGCACACAGGGCAGGTGAATGCAAACGCTGCCTGGGGCGGCAGCTTCCCGGGGGTGGAGCTGCTCCGGCACAGGTGGCAGGGCTGAGCCCGGGGCTCTGCGGAGCCCGGCGAGCTCTGCTACAAACCCAGGCCCAAAGCAGCCAGCCTTCACCTGGGCAGGGAGGTCACCTCCCTGAAAATCAGGCTATTGCTCCCCCGCCGCCCCCATCACCAAGCGAGGCTGTCTGTGGCGACCATGAACTGTCCGGAGAAAGAAGGCACCGGGGGAAGGAAGAGGAATTTGACCCTGCTAAGGTACAAGCTGTACATGGGCCAGAGGAGGAGGACAGAGCCCGTGGTAGAGAGCACCACCGCCGCCGGGGATCACGGCAACTTGAGGAGAAGTCAGTCCGACAGGACAGAGTACAGCCAGAAATTGCAAGGTACTGGGGAAGCTTGTTTGGTGCTCTGCTGCCAGGGATGCTCTGAGCTGGGGTGGTGTCTCCATGCCCTCCAGGCTGCCGCCTTCACATAAAGAAGGGAATGGCAGGCTTTACCCCCCCCCACCCACAGCTGGAATGAGCTCCCTTGCCCTCCACCTTCAGACTAGGTGATGTTCCCCCTAATTTTTCTAAGTAGTGTTTTGTAGACGGGACACAGAATGTAATTGAAGATTTTGGTGAGTTCCTGCAGAACCCGTATGCAACCAAAATCCTTCTCATGCATCAGAAAGCATTTGCAACACAGTGACGTGAAAATTGGATGGCTCCATCCTATCCTTCTTTGGCTGTCGCATTAAGTGGGGTATGTGCCAAGTCATTAGAAGCATCAAGGACTTTTTTTCTCAATTAAAGATATTGTGGTCTCTAAACTGTGGCATAGGCTGTCCAAGCCTGAACTAAAGTACGTCCAAATACATGTTTGGATGGATATACTGATGCAAATTATACTCTTCTGTGATTATGGGGAGAGCTGCTTTTCAAATAACCAAATTGCATAAGGACCACAAATTGTAGTAAAGTATGTCAGTACTGGGCTTGTCAATCAAAAATTAAATGTGATGCCACAGATTGAGGAAAAGCATGAAGAATGTGGATGGCAATTTCTGGGAGTGCTCTGGAATACCAACTGATGAATTTCTCTGGGCTTCAAGGCTCTTGAACAACAGGGCTTGAGTATTATTATATGATAAGCGTGTATTACTGATAGTGCTCTAACTGCTTAGTAACAGTCATTCTTGCAACCATAATCCTTTATGAGGAAATAAAATAGAAAAATACTTTGGATTGCTGTATTGTGGTTTTGATGCACTTAATTAGGAAGTAGCATTGCTTCAGAGAGACAATAAAAGCAGAAAATAAAATAATAAGACTGAAAATAATAGGTTTTCTATGGGGACTGCATATGCTGAGAACAGAGAGGTTCATCAATTGTGCTATTCCCTCCTCATGACAGCTAATCAATGAGAAGGCGAAAAATACTCCATTAAGTCAGGCCCAAGATTCAGGAATCTGGCAGGGGTGTTTCCGGGCACAAGTATGGATCGCTGTGGCAAGCTCCTGACATGTCCCATCAAAACAGTAGATTTTAGTTTGTCATTGGGGTTAGCCAGATGAGGTAAGAGTTATCAGAGAAGTATCCAGCAAAAAGCTGTGAAATCTTTTTGCCCTATGTCAGCTGTATTCAAACCATGAATGTCTCCTGTTAAAAATCTGGAGCAGAGGCGGTGGGGAAACCCAGGAAGTCATGGCAGAGTGTGAGGTTATGTTTATGGCAGTGTTCCAAGGAGAGAGTAAATCCAGCTTTACAGCTCCTGCCACATGCTGAGCCTGCCACAGCCGCCTATTGCAAAGCACGGTCAGGTATCAGCTCATTTTGTGCGCTTGCATTTGTTTCAGAAAAACAGTGATGGGTTAACAAGGTACTTGCAGGCTTTGCATTGGATTAGAAGTTGCCTGTCCTCAGAGTGAAAATACAAAGGTGGTAGAAATTCCTATAAAGTATATTTGCAGTCGCCATAGAAATGCAGTTGTGTGCCAAGGCCTGATCTGGATCAAATTTTCTGAGGTAGATGTGCCTGAATTTGATAACGATCACGGATCCTGGACCTGCCAACACTGACAATATGCTGTGGTTATACACCTTTATGTTCTGCATTTCTTTCGTAGCACTTGGATGCAAAGCAGCTTTCTGCAAGGTGAGGGAAGTAGTTTTGTTGACACAAAGCTTTTGAGTTTTCCATTCTTGTTAAGGAAACCCAGCAGCTCTGTTGGTGACAGGTAGTCGGGTGTGTGTCACCTGGTCGGGACTTTCTGATCACCTTAGAGTGGTAAATGCTTTGTAAAAAGATACAGATGGTAATTTGCACTTGCTTCCAATAGGAATTGTGGGAAAAGCTGTGTTTAGTTGTCTCTCTCTTATATGATCTCCTGTTGTTAATATGTTCTCTAACACATAATCTGCAGACCTGGGGTAGGTACTAACATAGACATGGATGTGTAAGAGAGATATAACAGCAGCAAGCCCTGCAGAAGGAAATCTGTGAGTGGGGCATGTTTCCACAGGTAAAAGTCAGGGGCTGCAGGACCCCAATCTGTGCTAGTGGCAGGCAGCCTAGGCAGACCACAGGGACCGAGGTGTCTTTACACACGCCGGCGCCTACATCAGCATTGCAGTACATTTGTGCAAGGTGAAATATGGACGAGGCATCTCAAGGGCCCTTCCTGCCCCCTGCATACTCTAAAGGTTTCCCTGAGTAGGAACTGAGCTGTTGCCTTCCACAGCCATTTCCAGCAGCTCTGAAGTATATGCTCACATACAGCTCAGTGTGGTTGAATGAGAGGTCCCCAAATAAAAGCCTGTGAATAGAACAAAACAAAAAGCCCAAGAGAGCAAGCAGTAAGGCATAAAAGCTCGTAAGAATTGAGCTTGGGTTTCTTTTAAGTTTTGTTTCATACAGTAAACCAATGTTTTCTATGAAGAGTGATAAAGGGCCTTTCTCACTCTAGATCTCCAGGGTAATCGAGGTGGTTTGTTCTGTCAGTCTACAAACAGCAGTACACAATAGCATTGCCAAAGGTGAAAACTTCTGCAAGTGTTTTTCACTTAAGGATTCGTTAAGACATAAGAAAGTATTTTCATGGTTAATGACTACGGTAGATGCATCTATTCAATAGCTTATCTGTTGTGAATGGCCATGCAACACTCCCTGACTTTACCCTTTTTAAAAAGGAAATAAGATGCAAAGTAACTATTATATTCTTAAGGAGCTTGGCAAGCATTCGTGCTGTACTTCAGCTCATCCTCTGAGATAACGAAATGCCTACCAGCCCCATTTTAGATAGGGGAAAGTAAGGTGATTGCTATCAAATGCCAGGTTCTTGATAAAACCATGCACTCATTTAGAACTTAGATTGTACTTGCATACTTGGAAGAGTCTAGAAATACCTTGATCAGGCCATATATTTCTTCCATCAGCTGGACATCACTGTTCTGAAGAGGAAAGAGTGGGGTTGAGGAAGATACATTCACTAGCATCTGTGGTGGAGATGCAGAAATAATGTCAACGATCATTATAATAGCTAAGGCAGAGCTCCTGTGACATTTCTATGCATTGCTCTGCTCTACATTCACTAGAAAATTCTGCAAGTATGTTCTTTCAAGAAGGATGAAGAAGTTACAAAACAAAAAGTGGTATTTAGCATCTCTATTTTTCAAATGTATTATCTATAGCTGTTTAACTGGTAGGAGTTATCTTTTCTATGATGAAAATCCATCAGTAGCAGCTTTAAAAGTAACTATATTAATATTTATGTATTGTATGAGTGTTGGGATCAGTCTTTGAATTAACCTGAAGCTTCCAGTCTGTGAGTACCTGTGTATTTAGATGTTTGCTTGATGCAGTTATTGGCACATAAATGTTAGCAAGATCAGGGCAGATTAACATACAGTGTGTCATGGGGATAGATGCTATTAACTAAAAAGGGCACATCATGAAAAGGCATTTAAAGAATAGTTCACTGTCTGTTAGGTTTTGGGCAGATTGCTGGGTTTTGTTAATAATTGTATGCCCAACTTGTGCTTTCTGTGAAAAATGAGCTTTAAAAGTGGTGGGTTTCCTGAAGAAACCAGAGATCACATTTGCAGTGCTCAGTGAGACAATTCATGACTCAAAAAAGCACCTTGTCTTACAAATTATTGCATATTAACTCCCTTACAACTTTGGCTGTGAATGGGTCAGCTGCGCTGGTAAATGATTTGCACAGGCTTCAATTTAAAATGCACCAGGGGCCTACCTATGTTATACAGTGATTCAAATCACACAGCAACCACAATACACCGCCTCAGAGCTCATGTCTGAGCCCTGAATGTCGTGTGTATTCTCTGTCTAGTGTAGTTATCAGAAATAAGTAACACCAGTAGTGATCCAGAAACCAGCAAAATTATATAGATTGTTGGAAAGCTACTATCCCTTTGCGTACAAATCAGAGGCAACTCATCCACCTTTGCTCCATCTCAAGCAGGGCACCTTTCCTATCCCATCCTCCTCCCTGCTTGCAAAGCACACCGTTCTTTGCTGCATGGGCTGCCCATGCTCTCAGCGTCTTGCACCTCCCACCAGGTGTAAAGATCCTCTGTGCCACTCCCCAGTTCCTTATTTGCTTTGTGCTAACTTTCTATGGACTACAATGCAGATCATATTTTATTTCACTGCAGAATGTATTGATCCATGGAGCAGCTGGGTTGCTAAAGTACAGTAAGGCGTAAAATTTCAAATTATTTCCTGAGTACAGGAGATGGCTCGATGAAAGTTCTCCCCCCTGTACTCTGTGATGAGAAGTCACGATCTAATAAATACTTCTATTTTCTCCCACGCAAATTTAGGCTCGAGGGATCTAATTCTGTTAACTTGTGCTGCAATAAAGCTGGAGTTATTTCTTGAACTTATTGCAGTGTCTGTCAGGCTGGGAAAGCGAGCTCATCTTTTCAGAGCAGAATCCATTTTGTGGCGCAGTGTTTGCACAGCACTTAGCACAACCAAGCCCTGCCCTGGGGCTGGGGACTTTTAGGAGCTACCACAGCAGAACTAGGAACCGCAGCCGGAGGGAAGACTGGGACACAAGGAGGATTACGGATCCTCCTCTGAGCATATTAGCAAACATTTTATTAATTGGGATACTTTGCATTGTGGGCCGCACAGCCCTCAATTCATACAGCTAATCCATGCCAAATCTTGAGGTGCTTGTGTCCCGGAGGAAGCAGTTCAGGTACAGCCCTTCCTCAGTTCCTGCTTTATTAACATATTAGCTCAGTGCCACAGGGGTGGGGTATTTGTACCGGTATGTGACACCCTGGAAAGGTTTATTTGTAAGTATTGGCGCTAACAATAAGGGCATTCTTCTGTCACCTGGTGATAAGCTTTCTTCCCTTCCACCGCGGTCAC